ATGAAGCCCGAGCATCCGCATTTCCACGTATGCGAACGGTGGGCTGTGGTGGAGGGGATTGAGCCGGTGAAGGACTTCTTTTACAGCGTCTGCTTCGTGATCCCTCCGAGGCAGCGATGCCATCTCCTCCGAGCTCCTCCTGCGGCGGCTTTGGATTGCGCGCTAGATCGCCTTGTAATAGCCGTGTTGCGGATTCGTCCGACTCTTCCACTGACCGCTTTCATTCTGCCCTCTCTCACCTTTTCTGCGCTGTGGCTTCGTCTTCCTCCTTTCTTCGTTCGTTGGGGCCGCCCGATCCGTTTCGACCCAATCCCTCCTGACTCACTCTCCTCTGACTCGTTGTAATCGGGGTTGTCAGATTCCGCCCCCGAGTTTTCTTCTTCTTCTTCGCTCGCCTCTTCTCTCTCTTCCTCCTCTTCTTCGTCTGCTTCTTCTTCTGCTTCCACCCTTCAAGTGATCGGATCCCACAAGGTGAGATCGCTCACGTCAATGACCAGATAGTGGTCCGAGGAGGGGTAGTAGCAGTTGTTGCCATCGAGCTCCGTACACGTGGACCACAACAGATGCGGTACCAACGAACGGGTGAGCGCCGCCGGTGAGGGCCGCTCGTCACAGCGCGAAAGGATGCATGAAGGCAGATCGTCCAGGAGCTGCGCAAGAAACACCATGACCTCACTTGTGTTGGGCTCAAGGTGGCCGTCCCTCACCTTTCCGAACAGGATCTCCAACAGCTCTCCATCCGTATTCGTTCTCCACGCCTGAACTATCAACAACACCTCGTCGTCGGGGACTTCGTCTTCTTCGTCCTTGCTGGCCGACTCGGCCAAATGGAACACCACCTCAAGGTGACAAAAACTGAACGCGATGTACGCAATCCACCACTCTGTCCACTTGCCAGCATCAAGGATCGGCACGTCCAGCTGCTTGACCCAAAAGGATAGAGGGGCGTCAGTAGGGGACTGCCAGAAGGTGGGGAGGTTGGAGGGAAGCTCGAAAGTTTGAGAGGCGATGCCGATTCATTGGGGCGGCGTGAAGGGAAGGAGCTCCAGGATAAAGACCTCCGACGCAGTGGGAGAAAGTTGGAGCTGGCTGAGATCGACGTCATTAGTGGAGTCGATCTAATCACCAGCCTGTGCTAACAGCTGGATCCACGCAGTCGTGAGGTCCCGCGCCTAGAGTCGCAGCTGTCGGAGGACGTCTGTGTGGGACGATGGATGCAATGTTGTAAGATCGCCGGTGAAGGCGACGATTATTGACACATGGCTGACGCCTGGTGGAGACAGCCGCAAAAAAGCCCACACCTCGGCCAACACTCGTGCTTGAACGCTGATCCGTGCGAACCGAAATTTTGTTGCCGCGTGGATGGTCGCCGTGCTGAAGAATGTCGCGAATCGGAGTAGACTGGGACTCAATCGTGGTCGTTGCACCTGCTTGATTGATAAAATATGCCCCCAAGGTCTCATTAGACGCTTGCTAATGACCTGCTCTGTAAAAAAGCTCATGGCGATGGGGGAGAAGGTGAAGACGAAGGTTGAGAAGTAGGAGAATCAATGTAATCGAGTTCGAGATCGTCGTCTTCCTCCTCAGAGTCGAGGGACGATGTAGACAATGGGAGAGAAGGAGGAGGTAAGGGACCTGTGTCGTCGCCCGTACGTCGTACAGGGGGTCTCCGTACAACCCGTGCATACAGACGGACGAACGGCCGTATGGGCGTACGGATGACGGCCGTCCGAAGGTGTTTTAGGGGCAAAAAAAAATAAAAAAATAAAAATAAAAATATGGGGTTGTAGATCTTTTCGAGATCTACAACCCCATATTTTTTTTCTATTTTTTGGCAAAAGGATTTAAAAGAAAAAAGAGATTTTTGGCCTCTCTCTCTCTCTCTCTCTCTCTCTCTCTTTCTCTCTTTCTCTCTCTCTCTCTCTCTCTCTCTCTCTCTCTCTCTCTCTCTCTCTCTCTCTCTCTCTCTCTCTCTATCTATCTATCTATCTCTTTTCACAACATCCTGATGTGGGCAGTCCGTCGCCCCGCATCCGCACAAAGTTGTCACCCCGCTTGGTCTGAGTGTGCAAGCCAGGTTCGCCCGTGCGCCACAATCTGTTGCGGCCCCACGTCAAGCCCGCATGTCCAACACCAGCACGTCGGATCGGCCAACTCTCTACTCACCTTCCAATTCTTGCTCGTTAGCCGATCCTCTCGACCACACTAACTCCAAAATTCCTAGAGAGCGAGTTAATTGCGCTTGCGAAATTTTGCGTGTAACTATAATTTTCGTCACGGCCTGGCCAGGCATGCTTGCGCGAGATACCCGGGGTTGTGCCTGAGTGGGAAGGAAGGAGGAGGAAGGAAGTCCCTACGACTGCATGGCCAGGCCGCGACGTGGGGGATGTAGCCACACTCCGCACATCGATCCGGTCATGCAAGCGTTGACGCCAATAGGACAGGGGGAGAAGTATGCGCGCCCAGGGGCGCCACAAAAGATATCAAGAACAAGAGGATTACAATTGCAATCACGCCCGCCAAAACGAAAATTACAGTCACACGCAAGATTAAGGTGCGGAAAAGTCAGAGCATAGATCCTGAAGCGACTAGGGGTGCGCAAGCAGGAAGTGTCGTGCAGTAGAAATTGAGATGCACCCAAATTCCTAATCTAAATCCTAATTGCAAAAAGAAATTCCGAACAAAACAAATCCCGATGTGGGCTCGACATCAGTTGAAAATTCAAAAAGATTTTCCCGCACGACGATCGTGCCAAAATTCCCATTTCCCACAGCAGAACAAGAAAGAAGCTATGGCAACAACTATCCTTCGCGCTCGCTAAGGCGCGATCAACTACCGACTGTCGTGGGACTATCCCGACCTCGATTCCGAAAAACAAGAAAAGCAAGGGCACCCATGCAATCCAACGGGCCATCCCGATTCAATCCCTGAAGTAGCCTTGCGCAGGAAGTCGCGAGGTTGCAGAAAATGGTTCGTCACATATAGGCTGAACGAAGCAGCAGATGCACCTGGACCTTTCAAACCTCTCAGGTCGGTGCAAGGCCAAATGTGGAGAGAAATAGTTGGACCTTGGTTTCACTTGCGGGTTCAACGAGGCTTTTCCCCTTCTAGATATAGAGCACTTCGGAGTCACACTTACCTTAGTTGTTCGGATGAGGTGGGGCCATGTGGGTTTTAAGCTTACAATGGGGGTTGTAGCTTGCAAGGCAACTCTGTGGGGTTGGTAGCTGCATTCTGTGCGGAGTTGAGATCTCCGGTCCTGGCTATCTCATGCTGCATGGCCACGTTTTTCTCGCTTACAGTTTTGTGCGCGTCCCGACAGAATTTTTGACCTCCAAACCTTTCACAAGCCTTAGGGCTGTATACCTCACGTCCTGTTGTGGCTATCCCTCAGGCTGAGCATGTGTGCACCCCTTGTGAGGAGGATTGCCCTTAGGTCACAAGTATAGGCGCCAGGGACCCCCTTTGCTCGCTTGTGAACCTTGATTTGTTCCCTCCAACGCGTTAGTGGTTGTGCCGTTCACATGGAGTAGGCTCAGATGCGTTTATCAAGTCTGGATCTCAAGAACAAGCAAAGCAGCCAATGCCGCATACAATACCACACCGCTCAAGATAGCATACCCCTTAATCTTTCATGATGTATCCCTCTTGTATCCCAACATAAGCCCCCACCTAATGTTTGGCTATGATCTTTTGTTGGCCTTTGAAACCATAGGGCACTGCATTTTCCAAATGGGATCCCTTCTAATTTGCCCTCATTCCACTTCTCGGACCCGCATGGATGGAATCCGTAGGCCCCCACGACCTCCATCATGGTTCCTTTTTCACTAAGATGTATACTTGAATTTCGCTCCCTTGATCTTTGAACCACCCCCCCCCCCCCCCTCCCTTCGTCTTCACTTGGTCACACCGAGTCAGATCGCTTAGCCTTGGTTCATGACCATAAATAGCAAAACTCCCCTTTTAACATACAAGGCATCAAACATTCACACACAGCTAGGGGTCAACACACATCCAAGTCTTCTTAGGGAAGACTAATGGACAGCTGCTTCCTTTCATCCAATTCATCAATCTAAGCACTCGAGCAATCAATTATCCAACCATGCATTTATCTCTGATGCAGGGCTAGGGTCGGTTGAGTCCACCAACCTGATTTGCAACAAGCGCATCGACTTAATTCAGGGA